ACATTTGAAATTGAAATTGGGATGGTTACAAGCTGAAAACTTAAAGTTGACAAAAATCAAAGAATTATTTTCATTATTGTTATTTGGTTCTCTTTCATTTGAAAATTGTTCCAATATCCATGCACTTTATGCAGTCAATGCAAAACTAAAGTTATCCTTGTTCTGTAACTTGTTTTAAGTTTCAAGTTGGTTATTATGATATACATTCTTTTAGTTGCTCAAGCCACAACATTATAGCTATTAAAAAGCAAAATCAACAAAATGAATACGAAAGTTAGAAATAGACCAAATCATAGCTAAAAGGAACTTTTATTTCAACTCAATCTTTACAATAAACTGATAAATCAACAGTTTAATATAATTACATGTCCATGATAAGATACACCAGATTTATCATTCTCAAGCACTTGTAAATAGTTGCTTTTCTATTTTACCAACACTAGTAAATAGTGGCCTGGAGGTTGGTTCAACTTTGAAGAACATGTAACATTGCTCTGAGCGAATCTAGCCACAAGACTGACACATTAATTAATTTACATCCCTATTCTTTCATAAGTCTAGAAGCTTCCCTTATAATCTCTGCATAAGAATTGAAGACACTTGTGCTTTATAAATTGGGTGCGTCTAAAGAGATTTTCTATGAAACCTGGAACTTTAAACATGCATATCTCCATTAAAATTTTGCAAGAAATATAATAGATTAAAAGGAAAAAAATAAAGTAATATGATTGTACTTTTTGAAAAGTAAAAATACCAAAATACCATTGTAAAGGGAAAAATAATTTACAATAATTTAATAACTATTCGCAAGTCCTGATCTACGGGTCTTGATATGTATCAGGTGTTGAAAATTTATAATTTTTCATTTACAACTTTTGTTCTTATATTAACAACTTTTATTTTTAAATTTATAACAATTCAATAATCACTCCCAACTCCACATTCAGAGGTTCTGATATATATCAGATGTTAAAAATTTATAACTTCCTATTCACAACTTTTGTTCATATATTAACAACTTTTATTTTTAAATTCGTAACAATTCAATAGTTATTCGCAACTCTGAATATGTAGGTTCTAATATGCATCAGATTTTGAAAAATCACAACTTTTCATTTACAACTTTTGTTCTTAAATTAACAACTTTTATCCCTAAATTCGCAACAAAGCAACAAAGAATTGTAATTTATCAGTACCCTCTATAAATTGACTAAATCAGCAAAAATAAATTACCACTCTAATCTAAGAAATAACAACTTTTATTCATTTAAATGATAAGAAAACCTTAAAGAATGACAACTATCTAAAGTTTTTTTATCAATTACATGACCTACAACTTGCATCAAAGTACCCTACAATCCTTTTGATAAAAATATATGAAGGGTTAAATCTTTTAGTGTCATCCCAACATGTCAACCATTCTCATGCCAACCTGAAACAATAAAATAGTCATTCATCAACATATCTATTTTTCAAACATCATAATCATATATTTGTTATGTTTAATCTAACAACAACTATTCTTCTTATATTTACAATTTTGTATTGGTTATTTACAACTTTGGTTTATGCATTTATAACACAACTAAAAATGATATATCATTTATCATTTATCATTTATCCATGAGTAAGCATCCATCCCATGTACACCAGAGAAAATCAGAAAATGAAAATCTTAATTATAAAGAAAAAATGAAGACATCAATCATACATACACATTAACCCACATCAACTTCAGCTATCACATATGGGAGAAGATATTTTCAAGGAGAAGAAGAAACTTACCCACATATCCACATACTGCCCAGCTAACAGAGGAACCCATACATAGAAACTCAGAAATAAAACAAAAGAGAAGGAGAAGGAGAAGGAGGAGAAGGAGGAGATGGAGACAAAGATGGAGAAGGAGAAAGACACGGACCAAAAGAAGAGAAGAGGAGGAGAATAAGAAGACGAAGCAGATGGAAGAACAGACAAAGAATGGTTCTACATTGAGGCTTGAGATTTTTGTTTTATTTGAGGGCAATTTGATTATTTCCTTTAATTTCCTAATGACAAAAAAATTTCATGAGACTCCCAAAAAATTATGTTATTTCATGAAACCAATCTGTCATTTACATAATTTAAATGGATTTTTTTATCATTTTTTCCTATATTTTTCTCACTTATTTCCATCCATACTAAAAAATCAAGTCATTTTATATTAATTGGATGAATGGAAATAATTGAGAAAAGTATGAGCATTAAAATTAAAACTGGTAATTTAGGCTAAGTCCAAATAAGCCTAAAAAATTTAGGGCAAAGCTTTGTAAAATCAATTGTTTTTTTTTAATCTCAAATAAGCTTGAAAAAAATTCTAGCTGTTATCTAAAATATTCTCTAGATATCTTTTATTATTATTGTGTATATAACTCAATTATTATTAAGAGATATTATTTGATATTATTATATAGTTATTAGTCATTATTGTATTTTCTATTTTCTTTGTATATATAATGTAACCTTCATCTCAATAATAGATACGACATTTTTCAATCATTCTCTAGTTTCTCTCTCTGGTCTCTAATAGCTCTCATGGTACCAGAGCCATATAATATTTTTTCCACAATAAGTCAGGTTTTGAAGAGCGTTAGATTTCCTTCGCAGCAGTGTTGCCATCTTTTCGTCACGAGTTTAGATCTACCTTAAATTTATTTTCGCATATCCACAGGCAACTTTGGTAAATCAACATTTTCAGATGCATTAATCGTTGGATTGTGTTGAAATTTGGTCATCAAGTAAAGAACATCCAACATGTCATTATGAACGGTCAGATCATTGACTAATTTCCTGGTGTGAGTGCTATGCCATTCGCATTACAGTCTTTGGTTTAGATATTTTTAATCCTTCATTCTCTTCTATAAGCCTTTTTTTTCCTTAAAAAAATGGAAAATTTAGATGTGGCTCAATCTGCATTAGTTACTTTGAATGGTTGCAATTACCGTCTTTGGTTGGAAAAATGTAATCTTGCTCAGCCTACTTTAAGATCCTCTCCGATTGAACTTGAAACTTTGTTGCGCACATTCATCTCTGGTTCCTCTAGCCCATCCGCTGCCTTATCTACTCTCACTGATAAATCCACTTGGTATTTTGACTTTGCTTGCTGCAATCATATGACAAGTCACGAAAATTTCTTCTCCTTTATGACACCTAACTTTACTGCCTATCCTATACACACTGCTAATAATTCTCAAATGCCTGTTAGTCATATTGGTACTGTCTCCTTGCCTTTCCTATCCATTCATGATACATATTTTGTTCCTACCATTAACTTTAACCTTTTTTGTTGGATAACTTGTTGATATGGGTTATGACGTGTTATTTAATAAACGTGGTTGTGTTGTGATGGATTCTCAAACAGGACAGGTTGTCGGGACCGGGCGTAAAGTTGGTCGCATGTTCGAGCTCACTTCAATGCACCTACTTGAGATCACTGTTTCCACATTGTGTGCTGCCTCCACATCCTCTTCTCTTAATTCTTCTCTCGACCTATGGCATTGTTATCTTGCTTACCCTTCTTTGAGTAAATTGCGTCCTTTAATTTCTAGTGGTCTTTTAGGTCATGTTCATAGTCATTCTTTGCAATGCATTTCTTGTCAGACTGCCAAGCAACCCGCTTTGTCTTTTCATAAAAATGATTCTATTGCTGCTTCTCCATTTGATTTGATTCATTCTGATATTTGGGGCCTTGCACCTACTCCCTCTATGGGAGGATCCCGATATTTTGTGATTTTTATTGATGATTTTTCTCGTTTTACATGGATTTATATGATGAAACATCGATCTAAGTTACCTGAACTTTATATCAAATTTGCTACTATGGTTCACACTCAGTATTCTAAAGTTATCAAAAATTTTCGTCATGATAATGCTTTGGAATATCGTGACTCTAAATTACTCACCTTTCTTGATTCTTAAGGTACTATTTCTTAATATTCTTGTCCTTATACTTCTCAACAAAATGGTCGTGCTGAGCGGAAACACCGTCATATTCTTGATTCTATTAGAGCATTGCTCATTTCCTCTTCTTGTCCTGAACGGTTTTGGGGTGAAGCAGTCTTAACCTTTGTCTTTTGCGTCAATCGACTCCTATCTCCTGTTATCGATAACATTTCTCCTTTTGAGCGTCTCCATGGTTATCCTCCCGATTATAGTCTTTTAAAAGTCTTTGCTTGTGCCTGTTTTGTTCTTCTTCCGTCTCATGAGACAAACAAACTTCAAGCTCGTTCTCGTGTTTGTTGTTTTCTTGGTTATGATTCTGAGCATAAGGGTTATCATTGTTAGGATCCTCTCTCTCATCGCATTCGTATTTCTCGGCATGTTGTCTTTGGGAAAATATCAAGTTTTCATCTCTAACTGATCTCTCGTTGTTCTCATCTTCTTCACCTCCTATTTTTACAGATATTTCTACTGATCTCTTTCCCAGTGAATTGAGTACAGATTCTTCTATTGAGCTCGTTTCCACGACCGACGCTGCGCCCGCTCTAGATATGCCTACTATCACACCTATTGCTCCTCCAGCACAAGTCACGCCTACTAAGCCCATATTGTCCACAGACTCTAGACCCAATTGTGTAAGAAATCCTCCCTCTTACCTTAATGATTACCATTGTTTTTCGACCATTCTCTAATTTCAAGAGCCTAAATCCTTTAAGGAAACCTCTCGTGATCCCCTTTGGCAGCAAGTTATGGATGATGAATTACAGGCCTTAGAGAAAATGCATACTTAGGATCTTGTTGATCTTCCTCCTAGTAAAACTTTGGTTGGGTGCCGATGAGTCTACAAGAACAAGACTCATTTTGATGGCTCTTTGAAGCAACATAAGGCCCACTTGGTGGCACAAGGATTCACTCAGGAATATGATGTTGACTATGAGGAAGCTTTTGCACTTGTAGCCCGTATGACTTCTGTTTGCAGCCTTCTAGCTATTGCTGCTATTAAGCACTGGCCTCTTCACTAGATGGATGTTAAAAATGCCTTTCTAAATGGAGATTTAGAAGAAGAAGTGTATATAAAGCCTCCACCTGGGTATCAACATCCAAAAGACAAGGTCTGTTGTCTTCGTCGAGCTCTATATGGGCTCAAGCAGGCTCCATGTGCATGGTTTGCTAAGTTTAGTAATACTATGAATCAATTGAATTTTTCTTGTAGTCCTCACGACTCAGCTCTTTTTGTTCGCTCTACTGCTCATGGTATTGTTTTGTTACTACTGTATATTGATGACATAACTATCACAGGCAATGATAATACAGGAGTTCATGAGCTCAAGATGTACTTGGGCCAGCAATTTGAAATGAAGGATCTTAGCAGATTGAACTATTTTCTTGGGATCGAGGTCCACCATAGGAGTGATGGTATATCTCTCTCTCAAGTCAAGTATGCTACCGATTTGATATCCCGAGCTCATCTTTCTGATGAGGAGGTTGAAACTACTCCTATTGAACCAAATGTTCACTATACTTCTATTGATGGCACTTTGTTAGATAATCCCACCCATTACCGACAATTGGTTGGGAGCCTCATCTATCTTGCCATCACGCGACCTGATATTGCTTATGCAGTTCATGTTATTAGCCAATTTATGTCTGAGCCTCACACAACTTATTATGTAGCAGTTCTTCGAATCATTCAGTATATCAGAGGCACTCTGTATCATGGGCTTCACTTCTTTGCTAGCTCCTCTCTTACACTGCGAGCTTACTCTGATGCCGATTGGGGTGGTGATCATGATGATCGACGGTCTACGACAGGTTTCTGTATCTTCCTCGGTCATTCCCTTATCTCTTGGAGAAGTAAGAAGCAGACATTAGCCTCTCGCTCTAGTGCTGAATCAGAATATCGTGCACTAGCAGACACTACTGCTGAGGTACTTTGGCTTCGTTGGTTACTTGATGAGTTGGGAGTATCTCAGAGCTCCTCCACAGACATTTATTATGATAGTTAAGCTGCAATTAAGATTGCTCACAATGATATGTTTCATGAGCGGACCAAACACATTGAGATTGATTGTCACTTTACTCGACAGCATGTTGTTCGAGGCACCATCTGACTTATTCCAATTCGAACCAAGTATCAGCCGGCGAACTTGTTTACAAAGTCTTTTCATCCAGGCCGCTTTCAGTTTCTAGTAAACAAATTCAAGTTGCTTTCTGTCAAACCATCTTAAGTTTGAGGGGGGATGTTATCTAAAATATTCTCCAGATATCATTTATTATTATTATGTATATATCTCAATTATTATTAGGAGATATTATTTGATATTATTATATAGTTATTAGTCATTATTATATTTTCTATTTTCTTTGTATATATAATGTAACCTTCATCTCAATAATAGATACAATATTTTTCAATCATTCTCTAGTTTCTCTCTCTGGTCTCTGATAACTCTCACTAGCCAGGCTCCATTCATTGAATACTTGAATTAAAAAATATTACATTTAAAAAATATATAAAATATTAATTAATTGTTTAAATTTTAAGTTATTTTATTCTACGATGCCATATATTTAAGCACATTATTATATATATTTTTTTAAAAGAAATAAAATATTTATATTTCCATATTATTATTTTTAATCTCTAAAATATTTTAAAATCATACTTAAAATATATTTTAATATTAATTTTTAAATTTTAAGATTTACATTTTAAAAAAAATGAGAAAATCACATGGAGATCTCATAAAGAGATGCTAATCATCGAGAAATTAGTAAAATATAAAAATAATTCTATAGTCCCAAAAGCTTTCATGGTAAATAACTTTTGATATTTATTTTCTAAAATGCCCTTATTTAAAAAATAAAAAAAAAAGCTTGGGTTGCCATCTTTTTCTTGTCTTCCCCTTCTTCTTATCTTCCTCTCAAGTGTTGAACTTCCTTGAGTTCGACAAGATATAAAGGAAATAAAAAGAAAGAATCACATTTAAAAATTTTTTAAAAAAGTTATTTGTAAATAAAAATTAATAATAAATCATCATTCAAGAAAAAAAATAAATATTTATCATCATTTAATAATAAATAATTTTGTATTGATTTTTATTTATAAATAATTTTTTTAATAGGTCCTTGAATGTGATTCTTTCAAATAAAAATGGGGGAGAATGACAATTAACTTTCAAAATCTTGAACTAATAATAATTAAGTCTTTGATAAAAAATTTTATAAAATAAATTATAAATATCAATTTAAATAATTATAAAAATAAATTTTTATTACATTACATTTAATACTTAAATACTTATTTATAATTAAAATCCTTAAATTTATAATTATATGATTCAATATTTTTAATTAATTTTTCAAAAACGTTTGTTAAGGACTTAATTGTTCTTAATTCAGAGTTTTGCAATCTAACTGCCAGTTTCCCTAAAAATTATGTCTTGTTTATTCATTGTCTACCTCAGGTGCTGCACGATCGTGAGATCCGAAGCCTCCGTCACTCATCTCAGCAATGGCGAGGTAGTCATCTCCCTTCATCGAAGGTGAGTGTCGGTGATTGGCGAGCGGAGACAAAACCCAGTAACGCAAAGCTTCCAAGACCAGATCTTTGTTATCGACGCCTGGTAACAGTGAGGCAAGGCTGACAGCTTGCAATGGCGAGAGAAAACTAAAGCTTCCGTGCCTGAACCAGAGCAAGCTCTCTCCACTGTTAGAATCTGTCTTCTACGGTAATAGAACTAGAGTGAGATTTGGGTTTCTAAATTAGAGAAATCTTGTTTATATATTTTATTTCTGGATTCATGGACTATGACTTTTGATTTGCTGTATGTTGAGGGTGGTTCACGGTGGATTGCTGGTGGTTCAGGGTAGGCTTTCCCCCCCCTTGTCTTGGTTCATGAGAAGAAGGAAAGATGAAGATGGAAACTGAAACTTTTTTTTGTTTTTTTAAAATAAAGGTATTTTAGTAAATGCATATAAAAACTTATTTATCATGAATGCCTTTGGGACTTTAGAATTATTTTTACATTTTGTGTGACTTCTCAATGATTAGAATCTCAATGTGATTTTTTTAAAAAAAGATGAGTCTTCTACATTATTTAAGTATTCAAAAATATAGTTTATATTTTTAAAGTAATTTTATGGAATGTGTGAAATAAAAATAATTAATTTTAAAGTAAAAAATTAAACTAAAATTAATTTAAAAATGAAAAATATTGATAACTCAAGTATTTATGTCGGCCTTAATAAGCTTAAAGCCCAAAGAGATTCGTATTGAGCTTGGCTATTCGGACTTTTCATAAATTCTAGCTTAACTCAAATAAGCTTGGTTTAAATTGAGCTTAGCATAAATATACATAACTTTTTTGAATTACCTGCTCTAATTGAGATATGATGAGTTAAAGTATAATGGTGACAAACTAAGTGAAATTATAAGTATACTTTTAATCTTCAATTTTATATAAGGTTTTAATTTAGTTTTTTAATTTTTTAAAGTATATTTTCAATCCTTTAACCCTACTATTACAAGTTTCAAATGATTATTTTTTGTGTCAATCATTGTTATTTTAAAAAAAATTAAACTTAAAATGTCAATATTTGAGAATATTTTATCAATATTTAAAAGTTTAATGTAAAAAATTTTTAATAATGAAATTAATAGTGTTAGGGTTAAAGGAATAAAAAGACATTGTATGAAAAATTAAGGGGCCTAAATAAAATCTTATATAAATTTAAAGAATTAAATGTATATTTTAATTTTTTTTTAAATCTATAGTTGTATATCTCAATCACTTTAAAAGTAATAGCATGAATTTTATTTAAATTCACTCCTTGCTTTTCCTTTGATTCACGTGAGTTCTCATGTGCGTTTGAGTTAGGGAGAATGACATTTAAAGCTTTTCAAAAGAATTTATCACAATAAAAGTACATTAGTTTTACGTAGGTTATTATCTTATAAAAATACATATATATTATTGTTAAGATAAACCTTAACTTCTTAAATTTTTAAAAAAATTCTAACAAAAAATGCAAATTAAAGTTCCGCTTTTAACAATAATATATATATATATATATATATATATTATAAGATAATATTTGATGTAAAATTGATAAACTTTTATTACAATAAATTCTCTTAAAGTGACTTTAAATTTCATTCACCCTTTAAGTCAAGTAACTAGCATGGTTATACATGGAAGGAGTGGGTGTCAAGGTGAAATCATTATACTGAATATACATTGATCAAAGGTTAAATCGTGCAGCCAGTGCTAAATGTTGTCAGGACGATTTTCTCCATACGATGTAAATTGGGCATTGCAAATTCAAATTTTAATGAAATCATACAAAAATAGATTCTTGTCGGTCAAAATCGCGCACCCATCCCCTTTTCCAAATGTCCCTCCCCATTCTCTTCCAAATCCAATTCATCTTTTTAATTTTTCATATTCCAATGTTGTCACTATTCAAACTTTTTTTTTTTCAATTTCTTTGTTTGATTTTCTTTCTCACCCCCATCTTGGACCCAAGCAATTTTCTTATTCAAACTGTTATCATCATCTCCAACAATTAGAAGGTAAGAGGTGATTTTACTTGATAAGGATGCTTTCTTCTGATTCAAATAGGTTTCATTTTCGTGCTTTTCATGTGTGTATACCTATTATTTCTTTTTTCCCTTTTTAATTTTTATGCAATTGTTAAGTAAAGTATAAAGAAAAGAATATTAATAAGGAAAAGATAAACTTTCATTAAATATCTACAAATGACAATAAGAATAAATCCAACTAGGATGAGTTATAAAAGAATATAACCTATTTTAAAGGTGAACAAACCCTAAACAATGGGAATTCCTTTTCTTAGGAAGGCCATCACCATTATTAACATGAAGGAGTGTAATTTGTCCATGGAATGTGGTGTTAGAAAAATTCACTTTAATGTGTATAAGGCCATGAGACATTCATCAAAGGATTACTTCCTTCTTGGTTTGAATGCCATTGATCTTGTGGTTGATAATGCTTGTGAAACACATGACCTTGCTTTGGTTTCCCATGATCATTTCTTTCTTTCTGCATCTTCATTGTCATGTTCTTGTTTGGAAACTTATACATGTCATAATTGCTTAAAGATTGGTTCCTTTTTTATTTGACACGTATCATGCTTCTTCTTATGACTTAGTTGATGATTATGAACTTGATAGTTCCCTACTTGCTTTGTCTAATGCTTGTAATGTTCTTGACTTAATTGGGCATGAGAAAGGTTTTTTGTCTCTCTCAATGGGTACTAATGGGGTTGAGGCCAAAACACCCCAAGAATTGAATGTGAAGCATGCCAACAATGGAGAGGCATAAACCTTGAAGCAAAATTTTGAATATTTTCTTCTTCAACCTGTGGCAAAATATTGAAATACTAGAGGACAAGTCTCATAAAGGGGAGGTTGTGGATCTTAAGGAAGAAAAGGAGATAGAGGTTATGAGTTTGTTGAAGAATAAAATGGCTACAAAAGCAAGGTAATGTGCTTGCAAAGCCCATAAAAGAGTTGAATGATGAAAACAAGGAGAACCATGCAAAACAAAGCAATCCACCTCTCAAGCATTAAAAGCCGAAACTTATAAGGGCTTAAAGTTGAAGAAACTTGTGCCATCAAGTGTGGAACCTCCTAAATTAGATTTGAAGCCTCTTCTATCTAATTTAAAGTATGCTTACTTGCTTAAAAATGAGAAGCTTTTGGTAATAATTTCTAATCCCTTAACTCCTAGTGAAGATAATGCCTTGCTAGATGTTTTGAGAAAGAATATGCATGCCATAGGTTGGACAATTGCTGATATTTCTAGTATTGATCCTTGCACTTGCACACACAAAATCTTTATTGAGGAGGGTGCCAAACCTGTAAAGCAACCCCAAAGAAGATTAAATCCTTTTATTTTGAATGTTGTAAAGAAAGAGGTTACTAAATTGTTAAGTGCAAGTATCATATATCCTTTTTTAAATAATGAATGGGTTTCTCTTATTCAAATGGTCCCTAAGAAGGGAGGCACAATTGTTGTGAAAAATGATAAAGGTGAAATTGTTCCAACTCATGTTCAAAGTAGCTGATGTGTATGTATTGACTATAGGCGTTTAAATGATGTTACAAGAAAGGATAATTATCCTTTACTCTTTATTGATCAAATACTTGAATGTCTTGCATGCAAGTAACATTAATTGTTTCTTGGATGGATTTTCTTGTTACCTTCAAATACCTATCTCACATAAAGATCAAGAGATAACCATATTTACTTGCCCGTTTAGAACATTTGCTTATCATAGAATACCATTCAATCTTTGTAATATTCTTGCAAGAGTTTGATTAAATAAAAGTGTGTTTGATCCATTCTCTTCCTCTCTCGTCTTGATCAAATGATTTGTGATTGACTTGAGTTGAGTTATCTTTTATTGAATTGGATTTAATAAGGGATAACTCTATAAACACACTTAACCTCAAGAGCTTTATCACCAATCCATTCTTGGTTTCACATTGCTTAAGACACTAGAGTACTAAATTTGTCATCAAGATGGTCTTGTAGCTAGGTTAGTATTATGGTGTAGACTCTTCATTTCTCCAAAAGTGAAGCCAAAACCAACGGCAACAATCTTAATCACCAAGTACAACAAAGCTCGAATGATTACGGAGAGATACGCGTATTGAGCAATACCTTCGGGTAGGGGCACAACGCAGATGCTTCATGATATTGCTTATCACTGGGAGACAGTGCACGCTCAAAGCATATAGTCCAAAGAGGAAGCAACAGTTTCGGCGATAGAAGTAGTTAATGACAAAAATGACGTTTCAAAATTAACCACCATGATATGTGTTACCTTTCGTACAGTTGATGGGCCCCTGTGTTGTGATCCTACTTGATTTTATTTTATTTTGGGGGGAGGGTTTAGTGAAGAACCCTTAACTTAATTTAATTTTAGTTAAATTCTCTAAAATTTTAAAATTTCAATGCATATGTGGGGGATTTAAATAAAATTAAAAAACTAACTGAAATAACCTTATTGTACCTAATAAAACAAGGCACATGAACAAATTATATGAGGAAAAGGAAAAATTGATGTACAGAAAATAAACAACTAAAGCATGTGGAATTTGCAATTCTCATTAACAACATAATATCATTATAAATTTGCAATTATCATTTCACTTACGTCAATTGTTCATTTTCTATACATCTGTTGTTCCCTACATGAGCTATTCATGTGCTTAGCTTCACTTGTTTACATTCATAGTAATATTATGTTGTTAATGAGAGTTGTAAATTTCTCCTACATCAGTTGTTTATTTTTCATATATTATTTGTTCATTTTTCATACTAGGAACAATAAAATCATTTCAGTTAACTCTTTAATTTCATTTTAGTTCCCCATATGTGTAATAAAATTTCAGAATTCTAAAGGTTTTGACTAATTAAATTGGGTTGAGAGGTTCTCACTAAAATTTTTCCCTCTTCTTTTTATTAAAAGACAATATATATATATACACACACACACACACACATTAAATAAACGGAAAATTAATTTGCAAGTTTTTATAGTTTTGCTTAGTTGTGAATTAGATCCTTGTAGCTTATCTTGTTTTAATCAAATTCTTATAATTTAATCTATTATA